AATCTGGCCGAGGAACTCGACAATAGTGACCTTGGAGCCAAGTCGCGACCAGACGGAGGCCATCTCGAGACCAATGATACCACCACCAATGACGGTCATGGTCTCAGGGACCTGCTCAAGAGCGATGGCACCAGTGCTGGTGATAACGCGCTTCTCGTCGATCTCAAGACCGGGGAAAGGAGTGGCCTCGGAACCAGTAGCAATAAGGATGTTCTTGCCGCGAACGCTGGTCTCACCGCCCTCGTTGAGGTCGACCTTGATCTCATGCTCGTTGACGAAAGAACCAGCACCCTTGATGTACTCAACGCCGTTCTTCTTGAAGAGGTACTCGATACCCTTGGTAAGACCGCTAACGGAAGTCTCCTTGGCCTTCATGAAGTTGGCCAGGTTAAGCTTGACCTCGCCGACCTCGATACCGCGGGCCTTGGTGTCGTGAAGAATTTGGTGATAGAGATGCGAGTTGTTGAGGAGAGATTTTGAGGGGATGCAGCCGACATTCAAGCAGGTACCGCCGAGAGAGCCACGCTTCTCAATGCAGGTAACCTATAAGAGATGAAAAGATCTGGTCAGCCAATTCCGTCCGCTTGATAATATCCGTATACGTATAAGACCAACCTTCATGCCCTCTTGTCCAGCCTTGATAGCAGCGACGTAGCCAGCAACGCCGCCACCGATAACAACGAGATCCTTCTCCTCTGCAAGAAATTCTGGTCAGCGGGTTGCTCGGGGTGGTGTTCCGACGAGCTCGGAGGTAACATACCAGCTGAAGAGGCATATCCACGGCTGAATCGCGACAGCGAAGAAGAAGCGACAACGCTGGGGAGCCTATCGATCGGGGAGAAACATTGTTAGTTGACGAGCCATATTTCCCTCGACGACGGGTTGGTCCCAACAGAAGCGGGCTTGAACAAGCTTCTCCTAGACCCATTCGTCGCAAAGCGCATTGTGGTATTAACGTACGTAGACTTCTGGAAAGCCGGGCGAGCAACAGCTCGTGATATTAAGCGACTGGAAAGCATGATGTGGGTTGTGTGGGAAAGACAATGGAAGACAGACGGATTGTGGAGAGGAAGGGGGAGGATGAGGTAGAAAAAGTCGACGAGGTTGAGGTTGAGGCGTTGCCGCAACAAAGCTCGCCCGCCGTCTAAAAAGCACAGGGCAGTAAATCCAGTAACTAAGACAAAGCACTGTAATGCACTACAGGGAGCTTCGGCAAAGAGAAGCCCGCCCGTTTATCAGGTAATTTTTTCCTAGATGTCAGCCGACACGCTGACACGATTGGTCGTTTATTCGGTGAGGGAGCCACCTACAGCACCCTCACCTCCCCTCCGCGTGCCCTGTAAAGCTTTTGCTAGGTCTCGTTGGAGAAAACCGCCCCCTGGACATATATCTCCGGCCCCGTTGTCGAATGGCATTGCATTATATCTCCAACTTTTTGGGTCCATTCCCGGTTTCAGTGGTGGTTCACGCTAAGTCTTGCCTGGGAATTCGGGCATTTCGTCCCAACGCACGCCGAAACGGTTCTCCCCAAAGACTGGCGTCGCCCCCAACCACAGCTTATCCCGTCTCTTGCAGCTCCGAGGACCCGCGTGTCCCGTTCCTACCCGGTCCCCGGACCTCAATTGCCCCTCGGGATGCCGACGTCACTGCAAGATAAAGCCGCTCATGTACTGAGCACATCGCCGGTTCACCGAGATGATTGCTAATGAACATCATGAGTTTGAACCCATGACTGAACCAGGCCGCGGAAATTTGTAACATTGTCGGCTCCCTGAAAATCTATGACCCTTATCCATATTCTACATTTCTATTACCGCTGGGCGCACAATAATCTGCGCCTTCTCGCAAACGCCCTCAAGCTTTTTCAACTCCTTTGCGCTGACCAATTTCGTCTTCCGGATCTTTTTCCGTAGCATCCAATGTATACCGGCAGCCAAGCCTGGCAAGTCTCGGGCAGCAGCAAAGATCCTCTCCAGCTTCGTATCTTCCTCTAAGCCCTTCTTCTTACTCCGGCATTCCTTCAGAAGAGAAAGTATGAATAGTTGGACAAACATCGATGTCCAGTGATTCGCCTCTGGAAGTTCCAGAGGCTTCAAGATGGCAATATTCAGTGTTCCATCCGCAACAAGTGCCGCATAGAACTTGGCCACATTGTTGATGCGTCTCTCATCTTTCATGCGCTCAGCATCAGCCGACTCATCCTCCTCGGGAGCTTCGCCGAACATGGATTCTCCGAGACTCCTAAAGATCTTCCATAATCGATCTTGGATTGCAAACCTGATTCGGCTGTTGCTCAGACAGGCCTTTCCTCCTACGAGAGCGTAGTAGGGGTTGTATTGCATTTCGCTGCCTACACATTGCACTAGGACAGTGGCGAGGGCCAGTTGGTCATCCTTCTTGAGCCGCAGGTTGACAAATTGTCTGTAGGCGTGCTCAAAATTGGATGCCGTCATCAATGCTGTGAAGATTGCAATCTGGGCCGTTCCACTCAAACCTTGAGCGCGAGCCTTCTTTGGGTAATCAGGCAAAACAATGTCCATGTCCTCATGATCGCTCATTTCTGCATCAGTTACATGCCCCTTTTTGCTTTTATCTAGGAGAGTTGTTGGTACACTGGCACCAACCAACCACCATTTACCGCGTGTCTCAGCTCCCTCAATGTCGACCAAGCCCACGCCCATGGGAGCAAGGCCATCGAGCCGTCGCGACTGAGACTTGAGCTCACCGAGACGCTTCTTCATGCGTTGTACATGCTCTGAGACGACAGTAAAGTCCAAGCCTCGGGCCTTCTTTTTGCCCTTGGTAAGGTCGGTGATGGTTTCAACCATGAACTTTGTGCGAGCTGAGATGTTGGTGTAGCCGACTTTTGAGACGGACTGGTTAAGGACCCCAGAGACGTGCTTCAGCGATTGCTGATCATCCTGCTTCAACATTCGGCCAGCCATGCGGCATATTCGCAGAAGAAGTTCCACGTTGATCTCATTGAGGTCGCTGAGAAGTCTCTCCATGTAATCAAAGATGATCTTGCAAGTGACGACCTCAAACACGTAAAGTTGCGAAAGCAGTGTCAAGATGTTCGAGGCTTCCTTTTGAATAGCGGATTCGGCGTTTTGTTCCTTGCTCGCTTGCTCATAGTGACCGCCAAAATCTTCGACAATACGGCGGATTAAAACTGAACCAAAACTCGATCCAATAAGCCGGTAAATAGCAGCGGCAAATCCACCGGTGAGGACAAAGAATTGATCGGGGAGGCTCTCCGGCTTGCAGATTTGAGCCATGATTGCATCCGTGATAACATCTGTCACATCACCACGTGCACTGTTTTGGTAAAGCTCTTCCACAGACTTGACAATGGACAAGATATTGGCATCTGTAAGACGATTGATCAAGCCTTGAACTTGTTTCCTAAGTCGGCTTTTGCGCTCCTCTTCTGAATTTGCCGCTCTGCGTAATGAAGGAGGGACGTATTTCGCAACCGTAACTCCAGTAGTGGGCGCGACATAGGGATTCTCTCTCTGTCGCGGTTGAGCTGATGTGGTGCCTGCAACATCACCCTCGTCATCGCCGTCGTCGAAACCGCCGAATGACTCGTTATCGATGTCTCCTCCGTCTTCATCGTCTTCATCCAAGAGGTCCATGTCTTCGTCGTCATCCCCAGTTTCGTCGTCCAAGCCCATGTCATCATCTTCTTCCTCATCTTCAGGCATGTCGCGGACCTTTTGTCGACCTGCAGGTTCCACTGCCTTTCTTCGTTTTGATGCCAGCCAATCATCATATTCATTTTTCCTCTTTTTATTGTCATTGTCGTTGTCGCTGGCGTCTTCTTCGCCGCTAAGGTCCCCTAGAAGATCGCCAAGGCCATCCTCCTTGAAGGACTGAGGCAGTGATTTTCGTCCCTTTTTGATACCTAGTTTTCGCTCAAAGGCCTCAATCTCGGCGTCGTCCTGGGCGAGTCTCTCCTGCACGGCCTTCGAAACACCCTTCTTCCCGCTCTTTGCTTTTGTGTTCTCTTTCTCTTCCTCTTCCTCTTCCTCGTCTTCTTCCTCGTCCTCATCTTCGTCGTTGTCGTCTTCTTCATCGTCCATCAGGTCGTCCATATCATCGTCTTCGTCCAATGAAATGTCTCCGGCGTCGTCCTCATCCTCGTCTTTGAGATCATTTTCGTCATCGCTAATCTGCTTTGGGCGGCGGGACTGAGGTTTGTTCGCCTGTTGCATCCTCTGCGTTGTGTTTGGTCTTCTCTGAGCATGATTTGTATGTTGTGGCCGCTGTGGAGTTGCTCTTGCGTAGACGTGGGCTCGCTTCTGTACCCGTTGCGCTTTGCGTTGCTCTTTTCTTGACAGCTGCTGTCCCGATCTCCTAGGTCCATTGCGCTGCGATTTGGGTTCTGGAACATCCAAGCCCATACGCTTAAAGAGTTTCAGTTGAAGCTCTGGCGCGGACGTCATCTTGCCGGAAGTATAGCGGAAGAGAAACACCGGGGTTGCTGAAGGGTTACAATTCTGAGGTGACTGAATTTTAAGCAACGATGCTGGACCTTTTGATGGTGGTTGTGCCTAATCTGGCAGGCGGTCAATGCTAAGTATTGCGATTCAGACAATATCTTCTCGAAAACCTGTCGCGATACTGGCCTGAGAATTATAGATGAATCAGATCTTTTAAGCGAGTTCTACTTTAGGATTGGATTAATACACTCTGAATCTTTTGAATCTGTTTTCTTAGATCGAAGTTGATGCAGAAAAGAAAAGATATTCTGCCGGCAGAAAATACCCACAAATTTCAAGAGACGAAGAGGTACCTGAATGACAGTGAGTGCCCCACCACATCACACATACCGATTTCACCGCCCGAGGTAAGCCACGAACAATCCTGCCACAACCTGGTACGCCACACTTGAATCCCCGACATGACGGCGGGGCACAATGTCAACGTCAATATTGGTAGGCTAACACTCATCTCTCAATATACATCGACTTTTGACGGTCTCATAACCCATCACTATGGCTGACTCTCATATGAGCCATGACGAGGTGAGTGTGCATTGCCTTTTCCATATGAAGAGACCCGGACAATCGTCTAGTAGCTTTGTTTCTGACATCATGACAGTTCTTCGCCAAGTTGGGTGAGCTCTTCAATCATCGCAAGGGCAGCGACCATGGCGCCATCTACTTGAGCCAGAAGCGCCGTACGTATAGTTACCTGCAGTATCTCTCATCCCGCTAAGGAACCTCTCAGTCACCTACGGTCAAGACATCCCTAGTCCCTCAGAAGAGGAACCCTCTCCAGATATTCACCCTGGCAAGCCTCTGCCTCTCATCATCAGGGCAACTAATGGCAAGGGCAAGAAGGATCGCTCCAACAAAGCTAAGCTTTCAACGGTCGTCAATCCCGAAGATCTGGAGGCTTTCTACGTACGGTATGCCGATGTGTGCAAGGCTGGCATGACAGCATTGAAGCCCAGAGACAGGAGCAAGAAGAAGGCCAAGGCAAAGAAGAAGAAGGCTGCGGCATAAACGATTTTCTTTTCACGGTCCAAGTTTTGTGGTGTCAAGCATCAAGGTCAAGGTTATATCATGGATTAATGGATTATCATGTTATGCGATACCCAAACACGTCTCCAAGCCACCATGACTTTGAATTATTTCTACAAAACGAAGAGTAAATATTACACGGAGCTGCGTTACAATCCAGTTTCCGTCAGAAGCGTATGCGCATTAGGCAAATCAAGCAAAGTTGGGAAAGGGGCTAGACCCTTTAGCACACCTTGCCTGAGCTCAGCTGTCCTCGGAAAGCGCCAGGAACAGCAAGGCTGGAGTGCGAGTCGGCGAAGAACTTCTCGGGGTTCTTCTCAATCTGCTTGAGAGTGAAGCCGACACCAGTGTCTTGGCCGTTCTGAATTACACCGGTGCGGAATGGGCCCTTGAGGCAGCCGACAGCGTTACGGCTCTTCTCGTCGCCGACGGGGTTGGGGAAGGCAATGCTAATACCAAGTCAGCGCTTCATAGGTCCAATTACGTATAGGTCCATGTCATCAACTTACCGTGGAGGTCCCGACTTGCCCTTGACAGCCTCGTGGATGTGGGTGGCAGTGTTGGCGGGAGACTGGTAGTCACCTCGGAAGCCGTACAGGGTGATGTTGTAGCAGATGACATCTTCGTTTGAGTTGATGCCAAACTTGAAGAGACCCCTGCTATTCTTCAGTCCGCCAGTGTACTTGTTGTCCGCATCGACAACCTGATCAGGGGTAGCGAGAACTTCCCAGATAGAAGTGAAAGTGAAAGGGATACCACCCTTGGGCTTGAGGAGACCAAGGACGCGCTTCTCGTGCTCCATGTCAGGAGTTGGCGAAGCAGCAGCGAGGGTGCTAAGAGCAACGGCAAGGAGAGAGAACTTCATGTCTGCAGTGAATTGGGCCGTAAATGTAGGATAGAGGAATAATATTAGAGATTAGAGTGGAAAGTTACTCTGCGAGTGAATACTGATGAGACTGGTGAAGCTTTCAACGAGGAGAGTAGGTGTTTTATAGACATTTCACTACACGATGACGACTCAATAACACCCAGATTGGGCGCATCGTAACAACGTCATTACAGTATTTGTCCGTAGTATCGTGAGGCCCCCTGGGCAAGCCTCTAATCCATGGTAACGTACACCAAGGATTCCGACCAACAAGTCGCCAAGTAAAATAGTTCGGTGCCCAGGTACGCCAGTGCAATCAAACGATGTAGGGAGATACCACTGAGGTATTCGACCGCATACAACGTATGAGCCAAGTCATGTTCTCTCCAAGGTGCCTGAGCGACACCTCATACAGAACTTATTGGGATGACTTACCAAGCATCTTGGGGTTGAGCTAACCTGTCACACAGCCACACGGCAGAGCAATGCCAAGGGATCTTGATCTACGAAACAACACACAACAACTGGTCCATCTGGTCAATGGGAGATGCTTTCTTAACCGGTTACGTATACGAGATGCAGTGGTGGACATAGCTCCCGTGTAGCTCTGCACCGGTTAACATTGGCGAACGACCACCTCCGTCAGCCCAGACTTGGTACTCACCAACTTAGATAGTACGTCTGGCGAAGCCTCAACCTACTCTGAGTGCGGCAGAGTAGAGATACTCGTTATGCTCCTCTGGATCAAAAGTAAGGCTGCCAAGGTGTCTTGGCATCGATGAGGAGTTAGACCACGGATGCGACAGCTTCCGGCGCACGACGATCGCTAAGACAAGCTTATTTCGAAGCTTAAACAACAACCTCCGCTATTGGTCGATTGCACGTTGATCTGGATCAAAAGGTAATTGCGCAGCACAGAAAGACACTTGCCCAACGAGTAGTGGGACTGGGCAAGGGAGAATCGGGAGAATCGGGAGAATCGGGAGAATGGCTAACACTTTGAGCTTTGAGGAGGAATGACTATGAGCTTGGCAGATGTCGATCGAAGAAGCTCTAAGGCTACGGCAAGTTGATGATCCGGCTTGGAACACTAACAAAATCAAGAGGCCACGCACCCTCGTATGAGACAGACACCGATCTAAGGTACGGTACTTTGATCAAATCTTGGTTCGTTGCTGGTGGCCGAAGACTATCGGACCTCTCATTTTCGAGCCCGCTTGTCTCGGCAGCCTTCATTCTTGAACCTACCTACCTTGCCTTCCGAATACTCACCGTCGGAGGCCTGCTTGTTGCCCAAGTTAAAGTTCTGAGAACTAGCAGTTACCCTTGGCCTTTTTCTGAGTTTTCCAGTCGTCGACTTACATACTGAGAGAATGAGGTTTGCAAAAAGTCCGTAGAGTTGGGAACCGAGAATGCATACCCTCAGCGTTAGATCTCGATTCCTCTCTAGGACATACGTTATTGCTGCTTGGAAGAGTGCATGTCATCTTCAAGCCGATACAATCCTGATAGCGAACAAGACGGCAGCGCATCACCTCAAGGCCAGGGCTTCCAAAGCATAGCCCAGGCCGTACTTATCGTCCTTGTACGTTTGAACTAACTATACCATATCACCCCAACGCCAACATTCACCATGCAGTTTTATGTGACTATGTTTTACTTTACCTTTACCTTTACCATTGCCTTCACCTTCACCTTCACTTATATCATCGTACGGCCGGCCGGCGGACTTTCGTGCCCCAAGACGCTACGCATGTCCGTTGAAGTCCTACGCTCCCCTTCACCAAGACCACCTGCCATCGTTCTTAAAAACCTTCGGATGATTACTCGACATACATTCTAAGTAGAGTCCTGTTGTTTCCTGGGAAGCCAACAGCCATCTTTTCCTTCATTGACAATGAGCAACTCTATAGTTGATAACCGCGTGCGTTTGACCGGTCATATGGGTGTCAACGGTGGGGTCATTCGGTTCTGTATGGTAAGCCCATCGTAAAATCCTCCCTCGCTCCCAGCTTATTAGAGACTAAGCCATCGACTCATTCTCCAAGGTGATAGTGACTTCGACCCCCTGTCCGTGAGTTAAGATTCCACCGTTGATAAACCCCAACTTTTGCTGCTCACGTGGAAAACGAAAAGTACCAAATAACAAAACAACCAGATATAAAAAGCATTGTGTGGATGCAGACGGTCGCCGCCGCCAAGACAAAAGTCAACCGCAACATAGCTGCATCAAGTTCAGTGCGAACGGACGCCCTCCTCTTACATGATCTGATCCTGGGTCAATCCGCCATGGGGATCTGTGTCCATGACGTCGTTTCCGCCCTGGTTCAGATACTTCACAAAGCTCAGGTTGAGAGGGCGGCCACCGTACTGGTAGCCTTGAAACTTGGCAATGGCAGTCTCCGCAGTCTCGGCGGAATCGAATCGAACCACACCAGTACCACGAGAACGACCACTAGGCTCGTACTGGATCTCAGCTTGCTCGACCTTTCCGATCGTGGTGAACAGCTCAACCAGGTCGTCGTTGCTGGTCGACCAGGGTAGCTGTAAAAGATTAGCACAGGCACAAATGGGTAGGGGGTATGGGAAGTCTCACGTTTCGAACGTAGATGATTTCTCCCCTCTCGGTGCCAGCGGTAGCAAAGTCAGTGAAAGGGTTAGGAGGGACGGAGCTGGCAGGGGGCTCGAAACCTGGGCCGCCAGGAGCACCTCCACCGAAGCCTCCACGACCAAAGCCGCCTCCGAAACCTCCACGCCCTCCGCCAAAACCACCGCGACCTCCAAATCCTCCTCCAAATCCTCCGCGCATACCACCGCCATAGCCACCTCGGCCACCGAAGCCCATGCCAGGTCCGCTGCCGGCATAGCGGTCCTCGCGGACTTCAATGCCACGGCCTTGCCAGTCATAGCCATTGAACTGCTGAATGGCGCTGCGGGCATCCTCTGGGCTCTCAAAGACGACAATGCCAGAACCCTTGGGGCGACCATCAGGTCCAATGTGTACATCAGCTCGAATCACGGCGCCGTTTCGGGCTAAATGACGATTAGATCCAACCCCGCCCAATCATGAGTTCAAAATTGAAGAATCGGGACATACCTGCTTGACGGAACAAGTCCTTCAAATCCTGCCAGCCAACATTGAAAGGAAGCTAATGCATGTCAACACACATCCACCACTTACAAACAAATCGGGGTTGAACAAACGTTGGACACATAGATCTGACGGCCGCCACCTCCAGCACCACCACCAGGTGGGCCGCCGCCGTATCCAGGATTGAAGCCACCGGGCATACCACCACCTTGGCCGCCGCCGCCGCCGAAGCCGCCACGGTTTCCGCCAGTTGCTCCGATGAAACGAGGCTCGGCTTCTCGGTCCTTCAGATTCTGTCAGCAAGATGCCCACACCCAACTTGGAAGTTCTCAACTTACCTCACGCACGTAGACTAGACGACCCATGAGGTTCTGGTTGCTGAGCGTGGCAACAGCCGCTTGGGCTTGCTCCCGAGTAGCATATTCCACAATACTGAATAGGTTAGCAACGCCATAGGCTTCGTGGAGGAAATCGACTTACCCGCATCCCTACAATTAACCAAGGACAACGTCCCACCCGTCAACCCAACCATCCATAAATGCTAAGAGGGAATGGAGAGCCACAAAAGAAAGCCAACCAAGGGAAAAGAAAATCATGCGATGAAGCCCACCTTCGACATTCCATTGGGAAGCAAGAGCACGTCGGCAAAAAGCACCTCTCCAGCTATACCATTTCGTCAGTCCCAGTTCCACCTGCATTCCGCGGCATTGAAAGCCTCACCCTGTCTCATGAAGTCCTTGAGATGGTGCCACTTGACATCGTACGAGAGGTTGCCGACGTAGACCCGGCGGTCCTGCTGGGAGGTTTCGCGAATATTATTCATCATTTGTTCTCGAGCAACGGCTCTTTCTTCGTAAGATCGGTGCGGTGCCTGTCCACCGTATCCAGCACTTTGTCCTCCACCTGGTGCGCCTGTGCTAGTCATGGGCGAGCGATCACGGTTTCGTCGATATTCGTCCCGGCTTCCGGATCGGCTGCGAGGGGAGTAGGAGCGGCGTCGATGTGACCTTTCAGGGCTTCTGGATCGTCTGCGGGGAGATCGTGACCTCTCACGCTTGAGCTTGTTAGCAGGTAAAAGTACAAGTTGTGATTCCATGCTCAGGTGCAATTATGGTGAGATAGAGAGCGCTGGTATTGTGTAGACGGAGGGTTTTGTTGGACTGGGATATGCCCCGGATACATGAGGTGTGCGCTTGAAGTTGAGTTTGAATCACTGCAACTGCCCGCAGCCGCTGGCACTGTCAACAGGCAAGACGGTAGCCGTTTTGCCAAGAAGAGCAGTGCCTCTCCAATCAAATGCTTCCTGGCATCTTGAATGGGAAAGTGCAACAGTAATTAAAGCGCGCCGCGACGGCCGATTTCGGATGAAAGGAGCTAATGCGAGCTTTTTCTTTCTAATGCTGATGTTGCGATCAAGGTGCTCGGGTAGCAGAGGCCAAACGACCGAAGCGGCGACCGGAGATCGCAACATCAGCAAGCGCGGGGGAGCGCACAAACTCAGCACAGCGATAAAGCCAATTGCGCCAACAGACAGGTAATCTCAACAAGCAGCGCAGCTCGAGGCAAGTGTTGAAAGTAAGTCAGGAAATGAACATAGGTTACTTACGGGTCGATAAGTATCACCGGAATCAGCTATAGAAAGGTGAGCGTCAGAATGGGAAAAAGTCAAGAAAGGATAAACCTCTGCGTAAGATGCGCAACGGTGGAAAATGGTGAGGAGAGGAAGAGTGGTTGAAATAACAGGGAGTGAGGGTAGCTTGGTTGAGGTAGCCAGACGAGGTCAACCTGTCTAGTGGAGGGGTGGTGGCAGAGTCGAGTGGACCTTGGCGGAAGATGCAGGTAAGGGGGCTCGATAATGCAATGCAATGGATGGGGAAAGACGACGCGAGAAAGCAGAGGCGGCTGG